TTAACTAAAAGAAAATTAGACTATTCTTTATTAAATAAAAACTATTAGAAATTAATTATAAACTATTATTACTAAAAAGGATAAGGATATATCCTATATTTTATATATTATTACTAAAGAAAGTACTAAGTAATATAATACTTACTATAGATATTACTATTAAAGATATAAATAAATATAAAGTAAAGAAGATACTTAAAGTATAAAGAACTAAGAAGAATTATTATTATTTTAAAAAGAATTATTATTATTTTATTAAATAATAAGAATACTTAAACTCTAAAAACACTTAAGAACTAGTTAAAAACCTTATAGGATATTTAGACTTACTTTAATAGTTTAATAAGTAATATTCTACTTATTAAGTTCTTTCTTAAGTATTTATAATAAATCTAAAAAAATAATATTCTAATCTACTATATCTATATAATCTAAAGACTAGACTTTAATTATAGTTTTTAATTTAACTCTTTTAGACTTATTAAGCTTATTTAATAACTAAAGACTATATTTAACTATAGTAGAACCTTAAGTTATAAAGGACTTATATTATTTTTATAAGTATTCTAGTTTAGCTAGTACTTTTTAATACTTTAGAAGACTCTTATTAAAAATAATAAAAGAGGGTAATAGTTTCCTCCTCCTTATAATATAAATATTAGGATTTTAAAATAATTTAATTAAAAGAAAATACTAATATACTTAAACTATTATAAAAATAACTATAATAAATACACTCTTTATAATAAAAAACACCTTTTATTATCTTATAAAGAAGTTTTTAAGAATAATAAAAAGAATAAAATATAACTTTAATACTAAATTCTTTAATAATAATAGTAAGTTTAAAACACTATTTAGCTTTTAAAAAGTAAGGCTTAAAAATATAATTAAATATAGTAAAGTATAATAATATAAGAAAAAGAAAATAAACCTATAGAATAAAAGAAAAAGGAGACCTAATATAGTAGCCTTAAGGATAAGACTAATAAAAAAGAAGAATAATATTATAAATTAAGAATATATATAAGGTAGTTAGAAGGTAGTCTAAAGAAGTAACTAAGTAAGAACCTATAAGTTACTTAATTAGAATATAAGGTTATATAACTAGATTACTATAGATTATAGTAAGCTAGTAGTAATCCTATAGGTATTAGATTATAAGGATTACTAGTAATCTAGAGTAATCCTAAGAATATAGTAGAGGATAGAATAGATATATAAAGGAGGGATTTCTAGTAGATAGTTAGACTAGATCTCTACTAATTAATCTAAGTAATAGTTCTACTATTAGGAGATATCTTTTAATATAACTTATACTATAATAACTACTTATATATATTTATATATTTAAACTAACTCTCTACTTAAGAAGTAGACTAACTATAGATTAGGATTAAGCTACTATTACACCCCCCTACCTACTAGTAGGTCTAGAAGATTACTTTAAGTCTCTACTAAGCTAATAGTAATAATTATAATATTAGAATTAACTAGTTATAAGGCTTTTTAAAGTATAATCTAAAGGTTAAAATACTTAGAGGTAAGTACCTTAATTTCTAACGTCTAAATAGGGCTTTAATATATAATTTAGACTTTCTTTAAGCTTATTAGTATTAAATACATTATTAATATACCCTTAAGTAACTAATATAATATAAATAAAATAGGGCTTATAATAAGGCTTTAAGAGAATGGTCTAGTACTTAGATTATTATAGAAGAGAATTACTCTAAAGAGATAGTCTAGCTAGCGCTTTTAGAGTATAATCTTTAAGTGTATTTTAGCTATAAAGAAGAAGCTAAATCTATTAGTTCTTTTTAATAGAAAGAATATTTAATAATAGTGGTTTTTTAATAAATTAGGAGTCTTTAAAGACTAGTATTTCTAGGCTTCTTTAAGGGGCTAGATAAGTAATACTATTACTATTAATTAGCTTAAGATAATCTTTATCCTTAAGATAAAGCTAATAAGAGCCTCTAAATAAAGACTTCTTATTATTAACGACTATAGTAGCTATTATATAGACGAATTCCTATTTAAATATTATTATAATAATATATACCTTCTATTCCTACTAGCTTATAGCTCTTATATCCTTTAACCTCTTAATATAGCTATCTTTAGTATTATTAAAAGAGCCTATAAGACTAAGCTTAGAAAACACTCTAATAATAATAATTCTTTACTAGTTAGAAAGAGGATTTTTCTTAAGTATTATACTATTATAAGAGAGGCTAGAATAATAGAAAATAATATTCATTTAGACTAATAAATATTAGGATTATAGCCTATCTATATAGTACACTTATTAATAAGTAAGCTACTATTTAAAGTACTAAAAATAACACCTCTATAGTTAATAAAAGTATTTAATAATAAAGGCCTTATGCTATATAAAACACCTATTAATAAAGAAGAGTTTTACTACCTATTTTCTAAAAGTTTAAAGTGCTTAACTAATAAATATATAATATAGTTAATATAGTAGAAAATTAAAAAGTAATTTAATATCTAATAAGCTAGAATAGTGTTTATAGAGGGCTAGATCTAATAGTTTAAAGCTAAAATTAAGATTATTAGGCCTAGAAAACGTTAAATAGTTATTATAGATCCTAATAAATTATTTCTTTAAGTTATAGAGGTTAAAAATATATAGTAGTAGCTTAATATATAATTAACTAATAATTCTATATAACTAATTATTAAGTTAGCTATAGATTAATTCTTTAGCTTCTTAGCTATTAATTAATATAGCTTTTATATATTCTAAATTTTAATTATATTTATTCTAAAGCTTTTATACTATACTTTATATTAATAATAGGTGGTTTAAAAGTGGGTGTGGCTTATAAGTGGGTGGCTAACATTACTATATATAAAAAGAAGTTCTTTTTATTAAGTTTATACTTTAAACTATTAAACTATTACTTTAGTTAGATTATAGACTAAACTTATATAAATAAAATATAAAGAAAAATAGAATAATTAAAAAAAGATTTAAAGTAAAATAAC